AGCCGGCTGCAGCAGGAAGCGCTGGACCGGGTCTCGGCCTGGAAGAGTCGGTACGGGCCGCACACCGCGGGCAGGGAGCGGGCTACGGCCCTCCGGGGCCGGCGCTCCCTTGTAGGCTGCCTCCTCTGTCCCTGAAACGGCCCTGCCGGCCCTCCTCCCCAGGCTGCTCCTGACGCTCGCTGTCGTGGAGCCGTAGGGCGCCCAGGACCCGACCGCAGCTCCCCGGTGGTACTCCACGTCCGGGGTTATGTGTGCAGATCGCTGGTGCTGCCGGGCAGGCAGCTCTGTCTTGTAGGGTGCCATCTTCATGCAGTGGACTTTGGGCATGTAGCTCCTGCCAGAAGTAGGCAGGCCCGGTGGTCACCAGGAGAGGCAGAGGCCATGCACACCCGCAGCGTCACAGCCTGGTGTCTCAAGGCAGAGCGCTGCAGTAAGCGTATCCAAGGCCCCCAAATCGCCTTATTCTGTTTGTGTTGCCCCTGCTGCATCCATAGACAGGACCAGTTTTGGTATGGCATCTTGTATTATGTACATGCTTAGCATATCAGTAAGTACTTGTTTAACATATGCTTAGGAGTAGCCATGTAATCACTCTGTTCCAATAAAAGCCTTCTGGAAAGAGCCTGTGATGCAGTCTTGCTGCATAGTGCTTCTCAGGCTGTTACGTATCACAGAGCACAAAAGGTAGCCAGGAAGCTACCCTTTTTGGAGGGGGAGTGTATTCTTGTGAGGCTGCTCACCTGTTTTTCTTTTATCTCCAGTTATGGTCCCAAAATGCCTCTTGCAGTGGATTGCACCGCTGAACTGATTCGATGCAAGGTCCTGGATTCATCTGGCAGATTGAAGTCACATGAACTCATCCTCTCTTATGGTCTGGCTCTTGTAAGGTAGGGCCTGTGTGCTGTGAGAGAGAGAGAGAGAGAGAGACCTGGGCTGATAGCATTTTTCTGCTGTCAAATTTCACTTTGCACCTCCGGGACCACAGATCCTCCCACAGCCTGTGGGGGATTTGTCTCTGGGGCTTCCAAGTTTCTCTGCAGCTCTTGATAATTGTTTATCTTTTCTGTCACTTGCATGCAGGTTTGTCAACTTGATCACAGAAAGGAAACAGAAGATGGTCAGCATTCCTCTGAGACAATTAGCCAGAGAAGTAAATCTTTAATAAGTGTTACTCAATAACTTATGTATATACGGAGAGCATATGTATTGTCTATTACAGAACTGGGTGGAGGGAGTTGGGGGGGTAATTCTTTTGTAAGCAAAACAATGGATATAGATGCCAGTTCTTTCCAACTGCAAATTTTTAAAGAGACTTGATGTAACTAGATCTAAAACTTTGTTCCTTAAAGTCAGATTACGAGTAACAAAGGCTGATATTCATTAAAGCATTTTGAATCATGTGATCAAAAGTCTTGATTTACATGTAAATAGTCCCGCTTGACACATACAACCACGCATTTTTGTTTCTTAGCTACTGAGAGGTGGAAAAAGAACTAAATCTATGGTTTATAAATTCTAGTCTTGGACAAGCAAGGTTATATAGAAAAAGCACTTAACCACATTTGCAGGCATTTTCATCTTGTGTCTCTCACTTAAGGTGGGCTAGTCCACTTCTGTGTGCAGGAGGGAAGGTTCAAGGTGTAGTTGTAGTAGCAGGACAAGTTTGAGTCCTTTTATTGGCAGTTGCACTGAACATTATATCTGGGTCTGAACAGCAAGTTTTGAAAGTAAAGAACAGATGGTATTTGAGACTCTCCTAGATATGCAGCCTTGTCTGGGGCCCCTATGTAAAAATGATGAACTGATTTTTTTTTTTTTTTTTTTTAAAGAAAGGTGCTGTTTCTCAGCTTTTAAAACTGATCAAGCTTAACACTAGAGGTGTGGCATAGTTAAGGTTAGTCATCCTTAGGAAAGTTGCAAAAAATTGCATGCGACTTAGAGTGTGTATGATTTGAGTATGATATGATTTCTGTCTTTGATATACAAACGGTTATCCAGAATGTTTCATCACTTTAAATATAATTTAACTGCTTCTCAGTATGTCATTAAGTTATACATAGCACCTCTGTCTAAAAAGACATCTGTTGTTGCAAGTAACGTTGAAGAACTGAAACTGTAAAATTGCAAGTTTGTATGGATCTAGGCCACAGGAGGAGAGAGGAGGGGATCTCAGCCCACCCTTGAAGTGGGAAGCTGGGGGACTGTGGTGCAGGAGTGGCCCAGAAGAGGCTGTTCCCACCCAGGTAGAGGTTCTCTGCAGTCTTGCAGGGCTGCATGTAGTTGTAGCATGACGCAGTGGGAACTGTGGGGTAACGCCTGCGGCTTCTTCCAGGTGGATATCCCTATCTGGGTTGTGGATCTCCGACACGAGCTGACCCATGGGAAGCTGCCACGGCTGGCTCTGTGCCGCAAGGGTGAGTGCTGACAGTGGGCGGCCTTGGGAGGGCTCGGCCTGAGGTACGCTTGAGGCAGCAATGCCAGTGCTGCAGGCCTTGAGGGGAGCACTCCCCCTCCATTTTGGGCCCCTGCAGGGCCGGCAGTGGGCTTGTCTTGGCAGGGAGAGCTGTGGTGTGAGACACTGGGAGGGTTTGCTGCTGCCCTGTAAGGGTAGCTGAACTGCATCACAGGGCAGATGTTCAGAGGTTTTTCTCCTTCCCTTGAAAAAAATACTGGAAACAATAGTTCAGCCCTCTAGTTTCTTTATAGCACAGGAAGTTCATCTCGGGGAAAGAGGTAAATGCTTTTCCTGATGGTTTAGCGTTACCCCAGACTCTTATTAAATCCCATTCAGGGACAAAGGCTCTAGGTGTACTGCAAGCCTGAATGAATGACCAGCTCATGGTGTTCGAAGGGATTCCTGGGAATTTTGGGTTAGGCACTGAGGAGACAGTTGAATAACCTTCAGCAGGGTCCTTAGGTTGAGTTGAGTAGTGAAATAGTGGTGGGAGAAAAGGGGTTTTCTTTCTGTTCTATGTAATTTATGCCTAGTGTAGTCTCTACACGAAAGATTAATGTTATTGCCATTACATTGAACACGGTGATACTAAATAATTGACTCATTTTCTCATCAGAACGCCACTGCTGGACTTAGTTTCTGCTTAAATTTGGCCTGCCTTGAGTGAGGTGCAGCACTATAGCAGTGTCCAATCTGCTGCTGCTAAAAAGACAGTGCATGGGTGTTACCAGGCCTGTGATACTGGGTTGTGGCGTTTTCTTGCTGTGTTGTTTTGTTGTGGTGGTGTTTTTTTTAAACTCGTTCACCTTTTCATTAACAGAGTTGTATGTGATTTCGGGGTTCATAACTTGTTAACAGCATTTCTTTTCACAATGCAAGTTAGCAATTTTCCACCTATTTTTTTTTTTTTTCAATAACAAAGAAAAACTTACTGAGTAGAGAATGTTTTCTGTTTTCCCTTAGGTTGTGATGTTGTCCTGGACTGGCTACGAAAGACTTACTGGAGCCGTCAGCTGGGCAATAATTTGTGTGAAGAAAGTGAGGACGAGGAAGAGGAGCAGGAAGAGGTGGTAGCAAATGCAGAGCTGGACAATGATGCATGGGAGATTCGAACTCCACAGCATGAGGCCTGTCAGAAACACAAGGAATTCCATGGTAGGTGTTCCTAGAACAATGGCAGATAGAAGGATAGATTTGTCACATGCTAGGGAAAGCAGTTTAAGTGTCATCTTCTAGCCCTGACAATGCATAAAGATATACCTTCAGCTCAGGTTTTGGCATTCCTCTTTGGGCCTTGGTGGATTCTTGGGGTGACTGACTTTGCTATTAGCTCACTGAATTTGTAGCATAAAATCTTTTACTTCTGTTGATTATGCAGTATCCCAATCAGTAGCAACAGTTATACTGGGATGGTTTAGCATTGTAAAAATTTTACAAGCATTGTAAAAATTACTTGTCTTGACAGCTGCAGTTTTAATATTGAGTCCGCTACTGACAAAGGCGGCTATGGTCCTTCTATAGCCCTCAAAACTCTGTAGATTCATCACTTGAGCAAGAGCAGGGTAAAGGCAGTTCAGCCAGTTTCAAAATACTTCACATGTGGACAGAAAAATCACTACTGCCAATAGTATTTAAAAAACAATCACAAGTAACTCATCCTGGACATAATCTAAAGTGCAAAACAATGGGAAAACTTTGGTAAACTGTTCCAGTGCTTGATTTTCCATCACCAGAAGTCTTTGAACCCAAAATGAGGACCTTTTCTCAAAGTGGATTTCTAGTTTGAATGACTTGCTGGAGGAAGTGGGAGTTCAGATTGGATGGCTGGTCTGCAGATTTGAGGCATGTGAGGTATGAAACAGTACCTCAAACAGTAAAACCAGTCAGTCATAATTTTTTCTGACAAAACATGGCATGCTTATGGGGAGTAACTCACCCAACAAGATTACAGCAGCCCAATCCAAGGTGCAGACGGTGTGCAGAAATGCTGAAGTGACCCGTATGGCTCCTTGGAAGGTCACACAAGGTGACTATAATGGCTTTAGGATCAATGGATTTGTTGCAGGTCTTCTCTAGATTCCTTTATAACAGACTTATGCATAGTTACAGGAACCGTGATCTGGAAAAGATTAGCTAATTTGTTGTGCACTTTAATACAGAATTTACTAGAACAACCCAAATCTAGAGGCAGTACTAAACTTTGGAACGCTGCAGCACTTACCACTGTTCTTGTCAGTGTGTTATGTCTGGGCTTCCGTCTGACTTCATGTTGGATGAGATCCAAGCATGTGCTATTCCTTCCTCTCCGTGACTACTGTAAAAAAAAAAAAAAAATGAACACCCCATCCTGGGTTGCTGAGAACCACAGAATGATACAGAGTGTTGTCTGAATCAAAATTTATGACTTTGACTGATGTCTTCCTTGGGTGTATGTTCAGCAGAACTAAGCAGCTTGCTTAGACACAAAATTTCCTTATATAGTTGAGCCATTCCCTGTTCCAACTATATATTTATGTTTATTTCTAGAAAAAGTCAGAGATGTGCTAATATCCTACAAGAATGAGCAGTTTCGGGTAAGTGCAGTCTGATCATCAGCACTTTCAGTTCTTCTCATTTCCTGCTTGGGGCTGTAAGGCTTCTTTTAATTCTTGTCCAAACTGAAGAACTGGTGCTCTTGGCCAGCTCTCATTTGAAATACCCGAGTGCTAGCATGACGTAAGTTGCTGTGCCAGGAGTTTATTTCATATAACTGCAGGGACCACTTTTTTCTCCTTGTAGCGTCCTCCCACAGTTAGAAGCATCAGTGATACAGAAGTGGTATTTGTATCAGTGCTGCAGACGTGGCAGTAATACAGTGTCCACAGCACTACCAGTGCTTCCTGGGTTGTGTACTCTTGCCTGAAGTAGTGCTGCTGTCTAGTGCCTAGCCCATAGTGGAGCTGTGACTGCTGCATGTGGAGAGAGGCTTGGTTAGTTCCTTGTTCAACTATGTTTCCTAGTGTTTTCATGCATGGCTTGCCAAAGTAAAGCTTCACTGCAGAGAACAAGCAATTTGGGCTACGATGGTTTGCAGTGTGAAATCTTCGTTCATGTCTATAAAAGAGATATGTACTTGTTTGAGATCCCCAGTCTTCCTTGTCCAGGTGGATAGTGCTTAGTTTGTTTTTGTTCATCCTAGTGTCTCTGGAAATTGACACCTGTCATTCAGAGGTTTTCTATCATCCATCTTTTACTTTTGCAGTGGCCCAGTGGCTGAGGTGCTGCGGTTCAGATTTGTGAACGATTTGCCCCAGACATCTCTCTCTTCTCAGCTTGCCCTTCGTAATAATGGGATAGTTCTCAAGATGTGTTGAGAGCTGGGTTACAGACCCTGTAAAACATCTTTGGATATGACCTTGCCAATATATGTTGTTACCGGGGAACTGTTCTCACTTTTATTTCGATGAATATCATTAGGGGCTAAAGGAGAAAGTGTGATAACATTCCAGTGAAGTGTAGACTTAATCAACAATAAGAACTAGAGTCAATAATTTAATTGAAAATGAACATCCAGTTTCCTTCATTGTGTTGGTTTTGGAGTATATAACATGAATCTCCATTGTTCATCCTACCCTTTCTGTAGTCGGTACTGGCTTATTTTGTTTCTTTTGTGTTACATTGTAAAGGTGACAAATTGATTATGTGCAGTGAGTGACATATTAACAGAACAGAGGGAAGTATTTCAAACTGAAAAGGAAAATGCAACTTCAAAATTTAAACTGGCCAGGGTTGAATGCGGGAAGGGAGTAGTCAGTCAATTGCTAAAGAGTAATTTCAAAACTTTCGTTTCGAATTTCATGTGAAATTCTTCTTATCCCATCAGAATGGTGTAAATACTGGCTGAAGAGTAAACTGTGTTATATGCCTCAATTTAATTGAAGTCCTGCATGCTGTGCTTTTGAAGTGTCTCTGTTCATGTTGTAGGGCTGCCTTTCTTGTTGAATGATTTCAAGTGGTGTACTTCTAAGTCTGCCAACAGTGACAAAATACAGCTGAATTATGAAAAAAGAATGCTCTGTAGATACATGTGTTGTGGGTATAGCTTCTAATATATCATTTGTGCCTCTCTGAGGTACGCTGGCTAAGGGTGGGCAAAGGGCTTGCCAAGATCTGTCAGTGGCAAGGAGTGTTACTACTTGTGGCTGATACCTGCAAGTTCTTAACTGAAGTTTGTTTTTTAAAAAACAAACAAACAAACAAAAAAACCCCAACAACCCCCCCCCAACCATAATACTGCTTTATGCATTAGTAACTATTGCCAGTAATTTGAAGAGATGCAAGCATATTGGTCCTTTGTTGGCCTCTGAAACTCAGTTCTGTACAACAGTGGACCTGATTATAGCTGATAAAATCTCTGAAATTTAGAAATGAATTGAAAAAAATTACATGGGCTTGTTCTTGTGCCCTTTAAGGGCAGATGGTTTGACGCTTCCAGACAATTTCTTGGCCATGACAGCAATTGAATGTTCCTAATATCAAATAAATACTACTGGAAGCTTTTTTAGGCTAATGTTTAAACACTTAACCTGGATTGGCATAGCAAGAGTAGTACAGTATCTTCGCTAGTCTCCCTGCATAAATGTATAGTCTGTCTCTAATCTGTCTATCTACAGTGTTACTGTATAGTCTGTGATCCAATGATAAGTTCTGTCATGGAGGCTGTGTAATTTGTTGTCTGATTGTTCGTATGGGTAGGATAGAGGTTATTTGGTCACTTTAGGTAATAGCTTTATACTTGATTTGTCATCTAAAGTATCTTTTGCATGCAGTGGTAGCTCTGCATATATAGGTTAAGAGAGCTGATCACAGTCTTGAAAATGACACCTTGGTTTTCCAATCTTATTTTACATTAAATTCCTACCTGGCAGGAAAAATCATTTCTTCTTTTCTCTCATTAGTTATTGTCTTCAAAAAAGAATCTGCTAGATACTTATTGGTGATGTAACATGCTTCATACCAATGTTTTGTAGAAGGTGGTGATGGTAGAATTGCTGCTTGGGTAGGTTATGAGCATAAGTAGAAGGCATGTCTCAGCTTGCTGGACAGACTCAGTTAAGGTATGTATAGGTATGTATATGTCATGATTTAGCCGCAGCCAGCAGTTAAGCACCACGCAGCTGCTCACTTGCCTCCCCCTGCTAGGTGTGATAGGGAAGAGAATTGTGAAAAAAAAATCATGAGTTGAGATAAAAACAGTTTAATATAGGACAGCAAAAGAAGAGGAAGCAATAGTGATGATGATGATAATACTAATAGTAATAATACTGATGAAGGAATATACAAGAACAAGTGATGCACAACACAGCAATTGCTCACCACCTGATGATCAATAGCCTGTCTCCAAGCAACAGTTCCCGCCCCCTGGCCAAGTCCAGTTTGTATACTGGGCATGATGTTATATGGTATGGAATATCCCTTTAGCCAGTCTGGGTCAGCTGTCCTGGCCGTGCCCCCTCCCAGCTTCTTGTGCACCTCCCCGCCGGCAGAGCATGTGAAGCTGAAAAGTCCTTGGTTTAGTATAAGCACTACAACTACTTAGCAACAGCTAAAAACATCAGCGTGTTATCAACATTATTCTCATACTAAATCCAAAACACAGCACTATACCAGCTATCAGGAAGAATATCAACTCTATCCCAGCTGAAGCCTGGGACAGAGTTTTGATACCTTTTGACAATATCAAACCAAGAAATCACTAACTTTCAAAGGAGTGCTAATCTCCAATATTCTCTTTTCCATTCTTGGTACAACTTGGTAGACTGTTTTGTGTATTGCCTCCTACTTATCAGATGCTGTCAACTCATTACAGGTTGCCTTGATGGCTGTGTTGATTTGACATTTTGATCTACTGTATGCATAGCATGACAGGTAAAACCTTGTCCTCATCCCCACCCGACTTGTGGAGTTAATGATTCAAAATGAGTCTGTCCTGGTTTGTGCTGAAGTCAGGGAGCGCTAGATTTAGAACCAGAATGAGGATGCTAGGACTGTGACTTCTTGGAGCTGCTGCCTTTTTAATTCAGGCCTTTTCCAAGTATGACATGGCTTATATTAATTTTTAATATACCCCTAGGAAGGGGAACTTAGCTCTGAGTTTTTTGAAGTGATGTTGATGAAGTACATATGGCACTAGCATCTTCCCTTCATAGCAATGCCTTTCTGTTTGCCATTGGAGCATATTTTATGTTAATGCTTGGATTTTTCCTTCACTCAGGTTATGCAGACTGTGCAGTCTGTTTCAAAGTCTCGAGAACTGTGGTCTGATTCCTCTTCAGAAGTGGACTGGATTTTGGCTCAGATCAAAGACCTGATGCAAGAGAACAGGTACATCTCTGATAAAGAACTGAGGTGAAAGGTACAGTGCAGAGCTGGGCCTATAGACCTGTTGCACTACCTTTTCACCATGTTGTTCAGCTGGTCATGGAGAAGACAATTAGTTTATTTCCTCAGCATCTTTGAGGATTGAGTTGTTAATCTGTGTCAATGTTTCCTGCACCAGATGGTCTCCAAGGTATTGTTCCTGACTCAACTGTGCTGGCCTCAAGGCACGTCAGTATCTTCAGTGTGTTCAAAAGCTCTCCCAACAGCCTTGTGTATAGACTTTGATCTTGTGGTAACCTTCTTCAAAATTGCAGGGCAATACTTGGCCTCTTCTATACTTTCTGTCTTTCTACTACTAGAAAGGCCTCTAGGACCCAGTGTTTTGAGACTTTATTATTACTATATAAATTTGCATGAAGATCGTGTCCCACTCTGAGAAACATAATCAGTGTAACTGTAGAGGGGAGAGTCTCTCTCATGCAGATATGAGCTGTAATTCCTGATGTTTTGAACGTAAATATGTATGCCATACAAGCTGCTGGTCAGTTTAAGAGGTTATCAGATGTTGTGCCAGAAGAAAACCCTGAGGAAGAGAGTGGTGCCCATTGCCCATCGATTGTCGAGCATGGAGTAACAAGCAAGAAGGCATGAAGATTCTGTAATGAGAAGCATCACTTGCTAAACATGGGATTTCTATATCACTTAAACTGTCTGTTGCTAAGTGGTTGGAAAGTACTGGTGGAAGCAAGCCATTGCACCTACCTGTGATTCTGATGCTCTCTCCCTAAACATCCTCTGTTAGTCACGATCAGAACACGGATGGGCCAAGGGCAGCTTTTTTCATATATAAATAGGTATTTGAACCTGGCATCAGTTACATGGTGGAGGGGAAACAGGCTGCCACACTACAGAACAAGGATTTTGAAAGGTTCAGGTGAGAACAAGAGACTTCCTGTTATGTGAAATGGATTTTGTGGGAAATGTTCAGGCAAGAGTTGTAATGCATTGGTAACAAGTAAAAGATCGTAGGAGGTCCCTTTCCATACAGGAGAACTGAAGTAATGAAATTCTTAAGATACTCATGTATTTGGGGTCTTTCTAATTGCCTTGTTGGCCATGCTTTCCTATTAGTTTATGTCTGTGCAAAACTTAGTTTTCATAATAGTACTGTCCTACACAATCAAAACAAGTACTTAATTTGGAAAATATTGTGCTTTTGATTCACTTGCTGTGCAATATTCTGCAAAACATGCTTGTGGTATCCCATCGAAGTGTGTTAAATCACATTCTAGCCGTTCTTTGTCATCATCTTTGTATGAACCACCTGTTGCGTCAGCTCTTGCTATTTGTCCCATGCAGCTGCACAAAGTACATTCAACCCAACTGCATGGATTTCCAAAAGAATCAAGAATCTACTTCATCTGTTGAATTAAATCTTCCCCCAGAATACTCAAACTTGGAATTTAGATGCTGGTGACTGTATTTGTGGCCTTTGAGGCACTGGTGTTTCAAAGTTGTTGTTCTCATCAAGCTGCAAAATACCATGTGCTGAGGAGTAAAGAGGAGAGTTGGGGCAGCTTCATTGTTTAAACCCTTGGAACTGATGGCATGCTTGAGACTACAAACACTTGGACCACCCAGCCAGTTCCCAGGGCTCTGCAATGCTTGTGCTTTACTACTAGCACAATCAAACCATGCTAACGTTTTTCCCTTTAAATAATCTCAAATTTCTATCCTAAGCACATCACACTGTATCTTTATATTTCATATTCTCAGAAGAACTCTTCAGGCTGAATTCATCATCTCAGCAGTGCCTCAACTATTAGAATGGACAGCAAGTGAGTGGGAGGGGATTCTGAGGCAGGGCTGTCTATGAAACCTTCAGTACTGTGCCTGTGTGTGTACTGGCTGGAGGGCAGGTGTGTGGGGAAAGGAAGCCTCTTTGAAGTTCTGTTCGATGACAAGATTACGGCACATGATGAGTTTTATAACATATGATGCTAATACGGAACCACTGCTCACCCAGGAGTGTACAGTAAAAAGAGGAATCTCTATTCTCTCTTTGGAAGTAGTAACTTTAAAACAAACAAACAAAAAACCCAAACCCCCTAAGGTGAATAGCCAGTTTTGTGCTTTGGAGAGGACTGAATGTCTCCAGAGCTCTTCTCAACTCCAGGATACTGGTAATAGCCTGACTTGAAGTGGTGCTTGCGTACAGCGTCAACAGTTATCACAGCTTGTGGTAACTAGCTTTTCTGCTGGTAAGCTTGGTTATGCTATTGCTTCAGAAGGATGGTCATGAGCAAACAGCAAATACTCTGAGAGCAGCGTAGTGAGGGGAGCCTGCATAGGCCTACTTGTGTATCTGGCCAGTGGGCAGATAAGCAAGAGTTTGCTTTCCTGAGATCAGCATGGCACCTCTGAAACAGTTTAACAGGCTTGAATTCAAGTGTGGCTTTTAAGCTGCTTGAATTTATTTCAGTGGAATGCTGTTCTGTACAGGGTGCTGTCACCAGAATGTGGCAGCCTTCTTTGCATTACTCTTTCTACAGGAAAGTCTGGTCTGGCAGGTGTAGAGAAGACTTGAAAAGTAACTACCACTACCACCCCCAACACCACCTCTAGCTTGGAAGGAATCCGTGCAGTTGTCACGTTCTTTTAAATAGACCCTGTTAGTCCAAAAGTGCCTGTGTGTGAATCTTTTCTTCTGAAAAGCTGTTATTGTGCATGAGTAGTTAAGATGCTGCAGTGTGATAAGTCGAATGGAAGGCTTAGACTTTTCCTGTCTTTCAACAAGACCTACTTGTGGAAATATTTTAGAATAGCTGTAGATTATAAATAAATAATTAGATAATAAATATAATAAGTAGATAATAAATTAATTAATTCCTGCACAATAAGTTGGGAATTTCACTGCTTTGCAGTAATTTCTTTAGAAGGTAAAGTGGCAGTAGGAGAGCATTGTTTTTACATCCTTCCTTCTTCAGTTGTATGTGATAGCATGGATTGGTGTGCTTAGGAGATGCTGCTTCCAAAATTAAAGCAGTTTTTAAAGTTTGTCGCCTATCTGGGGAAGTCCTAGACCTAGGTGGCACATCTCAGGAGCCTGGTTTAATTTCCAGCTTTCACTGTCAGTTTTCTGAGAGCTTTGTTTGGGATTCCAGCCCAGTAACCTATGTAAGGGTATGAAACTCGGATATTAGGTGTGGCCTAAAGAAACTTCAAAGATGGGGCAAGAATCTGTGAAAAACAGCAGAAAATTTCTTTCAACAGCTGGTGGTACAGTATCTTTAGGGTGTCTGTCATTTAAGTAATCAAATCTGGCAGTAATGCTTTCATAAGAACTTTGTCTTCACTGCATTGTGCTACATTGAATAAGGCTTTTTTGAAGGTTCCCTTAAGCACAGGCTTCAAATAAGACAAAGAAAACAGCAAGGAGGAAGCTGTTTTCTATGACTATAAAAAGATTTTTTTTTTTTTTTTTAATGTATTGTGGGTTTTGTTTCTGTTAGCTGTTTCATGGCTTCCTGAGTGACTCCTAAGGATCAGGCAACTTCATTAAAATAGCTGCTCTGATATGTGGGAAAATCCCCCACTTAACAGCAGCCAAGGATGGGGGACTGTTTCACAACTCACAGTTTGCAAAACTAGCAGAGAGCCAAACCTTTCAGCAGTGATGCTACCACAGAGAGATTTTGCAATTGCATTTAACTGCCTTGTGTGTTCAATGTTCAGAGAGGAGTTTTGGCAAGAATGTTTTTTATTTATCTATACCTGTGTGTATGTATTATCTCCAGTAATTACTGATTCCACAATTCCAGACTTTGGGTCAAACTTGTGGAAAGGAAACATACATGTTTGGATCAGAACAGCTTTGGCAGTGAGTTTCCAACCCTTATTCCTTTTACTTTACAGGCTTTCTCTCCACTCCTTTTGCTTCTTTAAGCAGCATTAGCTCCAGAAAGCCCAGGGAACTGGGTGTCAGGGTACATACTGCTAGTTTTGGTACTTTTCTGTATTTTTCTGCTCTTGTTGACAGCAGATGTCAGATAGGCCAGCTGCTGTAATGAAACATTTTCCTTGATCTCTGCAGAGTGAGGTTTGACTATATTCACAGAAGTGCTTATTCTTGGGAGCTGGCAGAGCCCAAGCAGAGAGGGGCCATGTGTTATAGGAGAAGGTGGAAGTCTGGTCACTCAGCCTGTTATTTCTCCCTGGGAGTTTCTCATCCCTTTATCAGGAGATAAAGAGAGAAGTGGGACAAGGGACTTGACGGACACACTTCTTCAAAGATGAACATGTGACCCTTAACCTTTGCCGCCTTTGTTCTAGCTAGCACAACTGGAAACCAAGTGCTGAGCCTGGCTCTGGTGCTGGGTACTGCTGGGGGTGATGTTATTTTCCAGGCCCCTGGGCAAGATCTAGCCATGCATCAGGTAGTTGCTCTGCAAGGGTTTTGTCGCACTTCTGCAATGCTCTTTGTAAAGTACCTGCAATAATAGTGACGTAATTGGAATGTTTTGCCAGAGTGACAGTACAGGCTCAGCTCCACAGTTGTTTCAGTGTGATGCAGCAGTCACTGGAACCAGATTTTAGCAGGATATTGAGGTGTAGTCATTTTCCACTGACTGTTGTCATACCAAAGAGCTACTTTATCCATTCTCCGTCTCTGTTTTTGGTTCAAGCAATGTAGGCCAGATGCTGCCGTGCTTCCCCTTATTTAAGCTTTCTTTATACCTACTTTCCCCATTTTAATCCTGCAGGGTGAAAATTACTTACCTGAAAATCAGTTTAAGACTTAAAAATAATAAAAGTTTACATCTTGAACCTTGCTGGAGTGTTCTTCCTGCAGACCAGCTATTTAAAACAAACCAACCTACAACCATACAGTTACTGTTTGTTTTTTTTTTTTTTTTGCCCCACAGCAAGAGCATGTATCTATTATAGCAAAGGCTGGAACTAGCACTGCAGTGAGATTGCTACCTTTACTACGCTTCTAAAAACACCTGGCTCTGCATCAAAGTTGAGCTGAAGGGGAGGGGAAAAGCAAGAAAATCCCACTATCCACTTGTTTCTTGCCATCTTCTTGGCAGCCTGCTGATGGAACCATGATCACAGAATCACTAGGTTGGAAAGGACCTTCAAGATCATAAAGTCCAACCATTAGTCCAGTGCCACCATGTCCCCTAAACCATATCCTGAAGCGCCACATCCACACGTTTCTTGAACACTTCCAGAGATGGCGACTCCACCACCTCCCTGGGCAGCCTGTTCCAATGCCTGACCACTCTCTCAGTGAAGAAATTTTTCCTAATATTCAATCTAAACCTCCCCTGGTGCAACTTGAGGCCATTTCCTCTCGTCCTATCACTAGTTAGTTGGGAGAAGAGGCCAACACCCTCATCGCCACAACCCCCTTTCAGGTAGTTGTAGAGAGCGATAAGGTCTCCTCTCAGCCTCCTCTTCTCCAGACTAAACAACCCCAGTTCCCTCAGCCGCTCCTCGTAAGACTTGTGCTCCAGCCCCCTCACCAGCTTCGTTGCCCTTCTCTGGACACGCTCCAGCACCTCAACATCCTTCTTGTAGTGAGGGGCCCAAAACTGAACACAGTATTCAAGGTGTGGCCTCACCTTATGACTTACATGATGACTTACTCAGGAAGTTTTGGAGTTTGCTTCATGCAGCCAGGTCCTTGTCTCAAGCCCCAACTTGCCCTGTTCTCCTGTCTGGATCCTTAAGGAAGAATCTTGATATCATACAGTTATTTGTTTTGCAACAAGCGGGTGGCTTGATAAAGAATCCTATTCCAAGCTTTTATATTGTTTAACATTAGAAAGTTGCTTGAATAATACAGTTTTGCTTGAGAGAGAAAATGATTTTTCAATTAATCTGCATTTTTGGTGGAAGCTCTCCTCTGTTAGAAGACTTCCATTGTGTTGCTTATTTCAGAGTAGTAACAGGACAAAGGCCACATTGCATCGGAACAAATGCTACACAAGTGTCCTTATGGACAAATGCTAAA